TTTTGAGATGGGGTTTCGCTCTTGTTGCCCAGGCTGGAGTGCAATGGCACGATCTTGGCTCACTGCAATATCTGCCTCCCAAGTTCAAGTGATTCTCCTGCCTCAGCCTCCCTAGTTGCTGGGATTACAGGTGCCTGCCACCACACCCAGCCAATTTTTTTGTATTTTTAGTAGAGACGGGGTTTCACTATGTTGGCCAGGCTGGTCTTGATCCTCAGGCAATCCACCCGCCTCAGCCTTCCAAAGTGTTGGGATTACAGGCATGAGCCACCGTGGCTGACTAGGAATTATAATTCTTATAGCAGCTCATGGAAAAGTTCAGATACCATTGTTTTCATATGAAATGTCGGAGTCCATCAGATAAAATCTCTCTTAACATTTTGTACTTTTTTGGTTTGTACAAAGGTAGTACTTTTTTTTTTTTTTTTTTTTTTTTTGTGATGGAGTCTCGCTTGGTTGCCCAGGCAGGAGCGCGATGGTGCGATCTCAGCTCATTGCAACCTCCGTCTCCTGGGTTCAAGAGAACCCTCCGCCTCCTGAGTAGCTGGGATTACAGGTGCCTGCCACCACACGCAGCTAATTTTTTCTATTTTTAGTAGAGACACAGTTTCACCATGTTGGCCAGGCTGGTCTCGAACTCTTTACCTCAAGTGATCCAACTGCCTCGGCCTCCCAAAGTACTGGGATTACGGGCATGAGCCACTGTGCCAGGTCAAGTTAGTACTTCTTTTTTTTCTTTTTTTTTTGAGATGGAGTTTTGCTCTGTTGCCAGGCTGGAGCACAGTGGCACAGTCTCGGCTCACTGCAACCTCCGCCTCCTGGGTTCAAGCGATTCTTCTGCCTCAGCCTCCCGAGTAGCTGGGACTACAGGCATGTACCAAACGCCCGGCTAATTTTTTTTGGATTTTTAGTGGAGATGCGGTTTCACCATGTTGGCCAGGATGGTCTCGCCCTCTTGACCTCGCGATCCACCCACCTCAGCCTCCCAAAGTGCTGGGATTACAGGCGTGAGCCACCGCGCCCGGCCAAGTTAGTACTTCTTAAGGGCAAGAAGGCATTCATCTTTGTCTTCCTTATAAAACCTGATACTTAGAATGTGTTTAATAACTATGTGTTGAATTGAATTAAAGAACCTCAGTTTCTGAAACATTAAAGATAATAAGATAAATCAGTAAATTTTGGAGGGAGGGCAAAGAAAGACTAGGACTCAAAAATTCCTAATTTCTACTAATACTAAAATCACACTAGATAGAAGGGAAAGGCATAGAGTCTTACCACTCTTCTTAAGAAGTTCTCCTTTTCGGGATTTATCCAGGTTTTCAAGAAAATATTCAAAAACTTTCACATAAGGTGCTAGACTGGTCTTCTTATAATCTAAATTATGAATAATGTACATTATAATTTTAATTAGCATACTGGTGGTAAGAATAACATGAAAATGTAACAGTTTCTTGTAGAATTTTGAAATATGAGAAACATATATACTTATCAATATTGTATTCGTCACATTACAAAAGGTGAAATTATTATTATTGAGACAAGATTTCACTGTTGCCCAGGCTGATGTGCAGTGGTGCTGTCTTGACACTGCAGCCTCGACCACCTGGACTCAAGGGATCCTCCCACCTCTGCTTCCTGAGTAGCTGTAATTACAGGCATGTACCACTGTGCCTGACTAATTTTTTTTTGGTATTTGTAGGGACAAGGTCTCACTCTATTGCCCAGGCTGGTCTCAAACACCTGAGCTCAAGTGATTCACCCAGCCTTGGCCTCTGAAAGTGCTAGGATTATAGACACATGCCACTATGCCCAGCTAAAATATTATTTTAGCATGTAATAAAAATTGAGATATTTGACATTCTC